CAGACAGTGAAAACACTAACTCAAAACTCTGGGCCAGAGATAATCAGTCTAAGCCAAGAGGGTAGCAATGGGAATGGAGAGGAAAGGAGTGATCTGAGAGATACCAGGATGTAGAATCAACAAACTTGTGGAACCAAATGGACATGGGGAAAAGGGAAAGAAAAATCTAATGTAACTATCAGGTTCCAGGTGACTAAGTGACAGTGGTTTCAGAACCTAGAAGACACAAAAGAGCTACCATAGAGTATAAAGTGCCTGTCAGCCATTCGGAAAAGATGTCTAGTAGGTAGCTGAATACATGGTATGAAGCTCAGCCCATAGGTATAGGCAGGAGATAAAAAAACAAACCAAAACACTGGGGAATTATGAGCATGTAGCTGGCAATGGGAGCCATAAGAGATAAAACTAAGTAGGAAGAATGTGCAGAGCAATGGGGTCCGGCTGCAGACCCCCAGCATGGCAAGGGTGCATGCCTAGATAAACTATGACTTCTGTGATTTCAAAAAGTTTTATAGAAAACATACATTTTTTTAATGCAGGACTACATAGGCTTATAGCTAAGAGCTCATGAATGAATGGTAGAAGAAAAATTAGCCTAGTGAAAAGAATAAACTAACCCTTCTTTACAATTAGGGAGAGTGGGTTATTGTTTTAAACATTAGAGTTGTATCAACTTAGTAGGTTAAATTTTTTATTCTGCACTAAGTTTGAAAAGCTCTCTGGTTTAAAAAGCATCTGAAATGAAATGGGAATGAAATCAGGGATTTATGAATCTAAAAAACAGGGCCTTGAAAATGCGTTGGCAAACAGCAGAATAGGGTTATTACAGAAATGCAAATGGGGCAAATATAAGAACTACAGACAAGGATAACTATAAGGATGACACGATCACTTGTGGTGGATTATATAGGTGAAAAGAGCTGAACTTAATCATTCAATGCGAGTGGTAGTAACAGACCTCAGGTGCTTTCCACTTTCTCAAAAGGGTCTACCCTGACTATCTTAAATCTGCCACTCACCCCCAATTGAGTATTACCTTTTCTTTCCATATACCCTCTTTTTCTCCATATATTTCATACAACATATAGTTTATTGAGTGGTTATGTTTAGTGTTTGATGTCTGTCTCCCTCCACTAGAATGTGTAAGTTCCCCGAGGGCAAGGAACTCATGATGTCTGTCTTGTTTTATTCACTGGTGCATGTCCCAAACAACAAAACCAGTGCCTTGCCCAAAAGGGGAAGCTTAATAAATATTTGTTGGATGAGTGAGCAGATGAGTCACAGTGCAGACAAAAAATAAGAGCTGGCTAGGAGTGGAAATACTTTCTCAAACCATATCTGAGGATAATTCCAATTCAGATACTGGAAGGATCCAGAGGAAAGAGAAAGATGATAATGAGGAAGCCACCAGAAAACAAACAGCCTTGCCGCTGGTGTAACTGAGCATTCTCAAAACATATGAGGCCTTTCTGAAGAAAAGGACATGGGCAATGGGGGAATAAAGGGAGATCTTCAATGAATAAATTTAGAAAAGCAAAACTCTGATAGTCTCAAACTTTTCTCATAAGTAGAATGCAATATCAAAATCCTGAAAGAACTGTGAATTCTAATTAAGAATTACAACTCTGAAGTAGCTGTGTAATTCAGCTTATGAAAGAGGACAAATGAACCCAGGCACAGTGGCAAATGTGGAGTTCCAGCTGCTCAGCAAATTAGGGAAAAGGATCACCTGAGCTCAGGGGTTTGAGGACAGCCTGGCAAACCAGCAAGACCTTGTTCTCAAAACAACATCTATAAACAAACAGAAAACAAAAATGAAAGTTTGCTGTCAACTGTCATATCAAGATGTCAGATTTCACAAAAATTAAAGCTCTCCATGGCCTGGTGGCCTATGCCTGTGACCCCAGAACTCTGGGAGGCAGAAGTAGAAGGGTCCTAAGTTTGAGCCCAACCTAGGCAACTTAATGAAACCCTATCTAAACTAAAAACTAAAAAAGGGCTGGGAATGTAGCACAGTACACAGGCCCTGGGTTCAGTCCCCAGCCAAACAAACAAGAAATACTAAAAAATATGTCAGGAATAGAATTATTAAAGTTTCAGTAGTAACCTACCTATTCTCCCTCTTTTCTTTTTTTCCCTCTTCTCTCCTTCCCCTCATTCCCTTTTCTTTCTTCTGGGAATTGAACCCAGGGCCTTCACACTGAGCTGCATCCTCAGGCCTTTTTCGTATTTTTAATGTTTAGACAGGGTTTCATAAGTCACTAAGTTGCCCAGGCTGGGCTCAAATGTGTGATTCTTCTGCCTCAGCCTCCCAGAGTGCTGGGATTACAGGTACGTCCCACACCTGGCTGATTTTTAGTTCTTACTGAAAAGTACTTGAAAGGATTATGTATGCCCAACTGAAAAAATATTGAAAGAACTTCACTGAGAAGAACTGGCTTGATTTTGATTTTGACAGATGACCTTTCAAAATCTTGTTTCCTAAAAAATTCCACTTTGGGTGTAATTAGGTATAATTATACAAGTTTACAATAAGGCAATCATGCTATTAGGTGCTGACCTTCTGGTTTACTTCAGAAAAACAATGGAATTACGCTTCTCCTTAACAAAGGAATGAGAGGGCTCTAAAAAGGGGGAGGTATACATAAATATAACTGAAAGTTGCACTATCTTTTTTTTTTTTTTTTTGGTACCGGGGATCGAACTCGGGTCCTTGTGCTTGCAAGGCAGGCACCAGAACCACTGAGCTAAATCCTTGACCCCACAAAACTAATATTTTAACTTAACCCAACCTGAAAATTCTAACTTAAGAAACAAGTAATATCTCTTAAAAATTTTTTATACTCACAGCTCCTTTTGCATTTTTTCTTCCTTCATGTCTTTAAAAACAATGGCAAGACCAACAAATCACCAAGTGAGCCACAGAGTCTCTCTGCTCTCCCTTAGCTGTCAGGGGAACAGCTGCTCTGATGGAGGTTTCTCCTGTGACCCAGGGCTGCAGGGGCTGTGGTACACACATGAGCTCATCGGAAGGTTTTATTATTGCCACTTGAGAGGTAAGGAAACTGAGGTCTGGAGAAAGTAAGTAAATTCACATAATAGTTGAATCCAGGTTACCTGGACAATGAAGCCTGTGTTTTCCAGAGAAAACCCTGCCCCTCCAGGCCTCACACTAATGTATTAAATTGGTGAATATTTAAAACATGAATAAATACGTTTTGAACAATTTCAAGCGAAGAATCATCAAGAAAAAATGAATTATAAGCTATAGAGCATATTTTTAGCTGACTATTGCTTTGATACAATGTAGTAGAATAAAATGGTATCTTTGATCAAGAGGAAAGCTTCAGTGCCATAACCAAAGTTTCCGAAATAACCTTTGGCACCTAAGAAAGTGAACCAATCTCAAGCACACCTATTTATTGCAGTATAAATGTGTATCAGCAAAAATACATTTGTACAGCAAACTAGTAAAAAACTACATAAGGGCTGGGGATTTAGCTCAGTGGTTCCGCTGCCTGCCTCTCAAATGCAAGGACCCGAGTTTGATCCCCGGTACAAAAAAAAAACAACAAAAAACCCCCAAAAACCAAAAACCAAACTACATAATACAAAATTAGTCAAATATTTCCATATTTTAAGGAAAAATGAAAACACAGATGTTATCTGACATTTTTAACTCAAAGATTTTGTTATCAGTGCTCAATCAAAGAGAGGAAAACCCCAAAGATAAAAGCATTGTTTTCTGTATCACCTACGCATTCACAGAGAACAAATCACTAAATGCTTTCCTATCTGACCAACTGTGCTGCAATTATAATCCAACCCGTAAAATAACATCCTATTTTTATCACCATGCCTGTGGCCAGCTCTTTTGGTTGACTGACTCAGTAGCCCACTTCTGGTGTGCTTCCGCCCTGACTGCTTCCACTTCCAGTTCCCCCTACAGGTAGAGGTGGCAGTGTGTAAGCAAAAGTCTGGTGGTGGAGAGACAGATACTCTAGCGACCTGCCTCCCTCCTCCTGTCTCAGATTTAACAAGAGGAGTGGTGGCAGCTATCTGTGTCAGATGCAAAGGCCAAGAGAATCAGAAAGATGCCAACTGACATCACTGAGTCACTACCCATAGACACCTGTCTCCAAACTTTATATGAGAAAAATAAACTTCTACCTGTTTATATGAGTGTTCATCAGAAATTCCATCAAATGTATCACAGAGTTGCAGTGTTCACATTAACATGGATTAGAAGCTGGTTGTGACCTGATGTTCAAATGCTTAGGTCTTTGACTGTCTACTCCCCTACCCAAAATTCTGCAACTTCATTATCAGCATAAACCTACCAACATAGCTACAGCTCTAGCCTGGAGTACAGTGAGACCCTGTATCAAAACGAATGAATGAATGGGGAACTTGTGTGGGGAATGAGAGGGAGCGGGGGCAGTGAGGGGTTCTCTGTATTTTACTATCAATTTATCTACAGACCTAGATCTAACTGCCCCCTCTCAAAGGCTACTGAGGTATTTTTGTTTTGTTTTGTTTTCTGAGACAGGGTTTCACTATGTAGCTCAGGCTGGCCTCAACTTGCTGCGATCCTCCTGCCTCGGCCTTCCAAATGCTGGGATTACAGGCATGTACTACCATGCCTGGCTCCATCAAAGGCTACTGATTTTTTGGCAAAGGAGCTAAAATACTAGAAAACAAGATCATGACAAGCGGGAAAATGAAAGTTAAAACATTCTAAGGTCATAGTAGTTTTCTGTTTGTTTTGTGGTGCTATGGATCAAATCCGGGGTGCATGCATGTTGGGCAAACACTTTACACTGACCTACATCTCCAACCCTACTGCTTAGGAGAAAGATAGAGATGTTGATTATCTTTAAACTTTGAGCCAAGTAATACATGTTGAAAATGTAAAGGGAATCACCAAATGAAAAAAGGATTAGATACAACAAATCTTTGTGCTACAAATCAAGTCTATTATTTTAACTGTGGTGGCTTACCTGAGATTCCAGAGCCTTCAATTTACGTTTCCTTGCGTGAAGAGCTTTACTTGGAAAAGCCCAGTAATAATTAGACGTTCCAATCCTCTCACAGTCCACCATACCATCATCAACTAAGCTTTGAAGAACTTCTTTTACTGACATAGCAGCTAAGAGAAAGAATTTTTAAAGCCTATTAAAAAGCAGCATGAATAAAATTAAAAAAGCAAATAACTGGAGAAACATCTGCAAAAAATATTATATCTCAAGAGTTAATAAGTTATAAGTAAGAAGTTCTTAAAATAACAACAAAGATGGCCGGGGATTTAGCTCAGTGGTGCCGCCGTCTGCCTTGCAAGTGCAAGGTCCTGAGTTTGATCTCTGGAACCAAAAAAAAAAAAAAAAAAATACAGGCTTCAAGGAAATGGGTACTCTCACATGGGTAGAAAAATGTGGAACTATGTGCCTAAAGCTATATTTATGCATATCTCTTATGGAGAAATTTCACCTTTATAAACACAACCACAAAATATCATGATGGATGTGTACATTGATGTTTGTCAAAGCATTGCTTTAAATAGTAGCAACCAGTCTAGTAACAGGATTTAAAAAAAAACTGTACAGTAGTTTATGCTATAAAAGAATATTTAATGGCATAGGATATATTCAGATATTCAAAACATAGTCCACAGAATGTACTATATAAAAAATAAGGTTAGAGCCAGGCTTGGTGGTGCATGCCTGTAATCCCAGCACTCGGGAGGCTGAGGCAGGAGGATCGCCTCGAGTTCCAGGCCAGCTTGAGCTACGTAGCAAGTTCAGGGCCCGCCTGAACTACAAAGGGAGATCCTGCCTCAGAAAACGGGCCCCCCCATAAGATTAAAAGACAGCATGCACCAATGTGATAGTAGTTATCTTTGGATGGTACATAACAAGCAATTCTGACTTCCTCATGTTTGCTTCCTCCCAACAATGAACATGTATTATCCTTTGATAAGAAAACTAAAACAAAACCACTATGAAAAATTAAAGAATAAAGACATAAACTTGGTGCAATAGCTTGGGTTGAAATTAACAATCAGAAAAATGTTCCTAAAAAAACGCCATGTAAAGATGCAAAACAATACTTCTATGTATCCATATTTGCATTTAATGTCCATTTTAATTTTTCCTAGAGCAGATCCCCCACAATAAAAAAACTTTAATAATTTAAGATTTGATAAATAAGTAAAATTGACATCAAATGTGCAAAACATTCAACCCCACTTTTAAGGAAGGACACACTGAAATGAAATGACAAAGAATTAAAAAAACAAAAGCAGTTTCAGGAAATGATGCTGGGTCTGGGGTTCATTAGAAGAGTGCTTGTCTAGCAGGTCCAGGCCCCTGGATACCATTCCCAGCACCGCAAACAAGCAAACAAAACAAAGTAGTGTGAATACACATTGGTGTAGCCTTTCTCAAAGGCAATTTGAGATTACATACTAAAAAGTCTAGTACCTGCACAGATCTGTTTTCTACAGACATTTCTTAATGAAGTAATATGAGATATAGAGAAAAATTTATAAACAATATCTTAGTCCGCATGGGTTGACTTAACAAAATGTTGAAGACTGGGTAGCTAAACAACAGAAATGTTAGTTCTCAGGGTTCTGGAGAGTGGATCGAGAGAAAGGCCAAGGGCTGGATGTGGTGGCTCATGCCTGTGATCCCAGCATTTGGGAGGTGAGGCAGGAGGGATCACTGGGAGTTTGAGGCCAGCCTGGGCTACATAGTGAGACCTTGTCTCAAAAACACAAAACAAAAAAATGACAGTAGCCACTCAGTTCACGGTGAAGGTTCTTTTCCTGTTTTGCAGCTAGTTATCTTCTTACTATATCCTCACATGGCCTTGCCTCAGTAGATGCAGAGTTCTCTCTCTTCTTCTTCTAAGGTCGCCAATCCTATAGGATTAGGACCCCACTTATAACCTGACTTAATTTTCTTTTTTCTTTGGTACCGGGGATCAAATTTGGGTCCTTGCGCTTGCACAGCAGGCGGTGAAACAACTGAGCTAAATCCCCGGCCCTAACCTGACTTAATTTTAATTACCTCCTAAAAGTCCTCTCCACAAATACAAACGTACTGTGGGTAAGAAATTCAGCATATGAGTTAGAGGAGACACTATTCAGCCCAGGGAAGACAGCATGTTAATTACTCATTACTTTTAGCAGCAATATTTGGAAACAATCTAGATGCTCAACAGTAGGTACCCTAGCAAGTTATGGTGGCGTAGATGGTCACAGACAGAAAATTAGGAGACACAGATGTAAAAAAAAATCACTTTTTAGGCTGGGAGTAGTGGCACATTCCTATAATACCAGCTATGTGGGAGGCTGAAGCAGGAAATCACAAGTTCAAGGTCAGCCTGGGCAACTTAGTGAAGCTATCTGAAAATAAAAATTAAGGACTGCCGGGGATTTAGGTCAGTGGTTCTGCCACCTGCCTCGCAAGTGCAAGGATCAGAGTTTGATCCCTGGTACCACAAAAAAAAAAAGAAAATTAAGAAGGACTGGGAATATAGCTTGGTGCTGCCTGGGTTCAATCTCCAGTGTGTATGTGGTAGGGGTGATAAGCAACATAAATGCAGATAATATACCAATACGGGAGGAGTGTAATCAGCAGTACAGCACTTGCCTAGTATGCCCGAGGCCCTGGGTTTGATCCCAGCACCTACCCCCTGCCAATAAAACCATAAACACAAACTGTATATGTAGTATGGTTCCTTTTCAGGAAGCTGGACAGACAGACAGACGCACACACATACACACTAGAACCTAGGAATAAGACATTAAAATACACCAAAATGTAAGCTGGCTATAGCGGCACACGCATGTAATCCCAGTGCTTGGGAGGCTGAGACAGGTTGATCACTGCAAATTTGAGCCAAGCCTGGGCTACAAGTAAGTTCAAAGCCAGTCTGAACTACACAGCGAGACCCTCTCAACAAACAAAATACACCAAAATGTCAACAGTGGCAATCTCAGAATCAAAGATTCCTTTTACTATCTTCCTTACAATTTTTACAGTTCCAATTTTGTTAACATGTATAGCTTATGTAATCAAAAGCAAAAGGTAAAAAAATAAATGTTTATTTTTTTCAGTACCGGGGATTGAACTCAGGACCTTGCACTGTGAGGCAGGCACAGTGCCACTGAGCTAAATGGCCAGCCCAGTAAAAAAATACATTTATCATATGCAGTGGGTTTAGTAGTATTCTCTTAGACCCCTTGAACCTGTAACTGTGAGCTTATATGGAAAAGGATCTTTGTAGATGTAATTAAAAGTTAAGGATCTTGGGGCCAGGGATTTAGCTCAGTGGTGCTGCTCCTGCCTTGCAAGCACAAGGTCCTGAGTTCGATCCCTGGTACTGGAAAAAAAAAATCTACCAAAGTTAAGGATCTTAAAACGAGATCACCCTGGACTTCAAGTGGGTCCTAAGGCCAATGACATGTTTCCTTGTAAGAGAGAAAAGAAGGGAAACACAGACAGAGGGAAAGGCCGAGTGAAGGCAGAGCCAAAGACTCTTCCGTTCAGCATGTATTGCTGGCAGCCACTGGAAGCAAGGAGAGAAGTACGAAGCCAATTCTCCTTTGGAGCCTCCTTAGGAATCAGCCCCGCCCATGTCTTCATGACAAATGTCTGGTCTCCAGGAGAGTGAGAAAACAAGTTTCTGCTGTCTTAAGCCATCACATTTGTGGGAATTTGCTACGGTAGGACGAGGAAACGAATATACCATGTAACGATGCAAAATGCACATTTAACAAACACTGGACCATGCAGTTTGACTTCTTTGGAAATAAACGATAACGTAAGTGTGTGATACTGTGTATGTACACACACATGTGTGCATGTGCACGTGCATTCCATTTTAATTCCTCTCGAGCAGATGCTCCAAACACAATTGTGTCATGGCCAAGAGACGCTGATATGGGGACATTTACAAACACTCTCATCTCGAGGAGTTTATGTTGCCAGAAAGGGACTGTTGCAGAAAAGATGACAGCTCCTCCCTAGCGTATCCCAGCACATCTCCCATACTTACTAATTCCTTTCTCTTTGGGAGCAATCTTCTCCAAGTCTTTTAATTGAAATACATCTTTCTGTTGAAAGGGGTTAAAGAAGAGAAGAAATACAGATGTTTATTTTCTACTGCATATTTATATTCACCATGATTATGTTTATAAAACAATATATTAAAAACCTATGCCCGAAAAGGAACAGAGCAATAAAATTAAGCATTTTAAAACTAAAAGAGATTTTGTGATTATCTTAACACCTCCTACAGAACTTAAAATAGACAGGCTTTTGCATGAACATGAAATTCTTTTTTTTTTTTTTTTTTTGAACATGAAATTCTTTAAAGTACTTGGAGATCAGAACAACAACAAAACATATCTTCCTACTGAAGGAGAAAAACTAGTTATGGTTAATTAGTTGGTAACATGAGTCTCTGCAACACTGATTTGAAGAAAATACCATGCAAATAGACAGGTGCAGGTGCAGTAGCTAGGAGTTTGGGCCACATGAGACCCCATAGAAAGAGGGAGAGGGAAGGGGCGGGAGGAAGACACACAGACAGTGCTTTACTTAGGATATATCACTCTATGGATTTAGCAGTTCTAATTAAAGGCAAAGCAGATAGCTGTCAAGATTACTTTACATTTAAGGTTTCATAAAACAGTTATAACTAAACAATAGAAAAATTATGTAATCAACGGCTGTCTTTGAATTATTCACCTGTACATTTTATATGTTCTCCAGATTCAAAGCAAAACATTATGAAAAATATGCCTGTAGAATATCTAACCTGATGGTCAGGAGGAAAAAAAAATCTACATTGAATACTTCTCTCTGCTTGTAACAGTCGCGGCTTAAGTGGTAAAATAACCTGGGTAATGAAAGTGAAATTACTTGAAAAGACTAAAGTATTCAGTAATTAGAATAGAAATATTGTGATTGTTGTTATGGAAATCTGGGATCCATTTCTTCCAAAATCAAGTTTATTTGAAGGCAACTTCAACTAGATGGAAATTACTCTTCAAAAAATCGAAAACTTCTGTTCATCCAAATGGGCGCTGCTAAAAAACTGAAAAGACAAATCATTCCCAGAAGAAAATATTTGCAACACAATACTTGACAAGGGAATGGTACCCAGGATATACATAAAGAATTCCTTTGAAGTATATTTTAAAAAAAGAACTGATGGATAAAGGAGTGAACAGATGAAAACAATGTGATAAAGCAAGTATGTTAATGGTAGAATTTAAATGGTAGGAATATGGTTATTTACTGAAAAGCTGTTTGATCTTTGCTATATAGGATTACCATTTTCATAATAAAGTGTTGAAAAAATTTCATCTTACTACACCAAAGATTTAACTTTGTCTTCACCTAAGATTTAACTTCTCTTTCACTATTCCCAAGGTTTGATAAATTAAGAAAATAGTAACTTAATGGATTTAGAGTACTGATTTAGATCAATTTTTACACTTCTGAAAATAAGATGTTTAAAGGTAATAACTGACGATTTCAGGGAACATGTAATAAATTAAGACTACAAATAGACTTTTAATAATGCATTTGAAAACTTGGTCTCTCTTCAAATACTTAAGATTCCTTGGCAAGAGAACATGAGCGCATTCAGACATCTGCCGGTACGCAGTCACCAAGGGAGAGCTGCAGACACGCTGGCCACCGCTGTGGGGCTGCGTGTGACTAGTGGAGCTTGCAAAGAGCAGGTCTCCAAACTTAGGCAGACAGGCAAATGATGCTGCATAAATTAGTACAAACGGTAGTTTTTACACTCCACAGATTTAAGCACTGATGATGAACGAGGTGAAAACGATGGTCCTAGCTTAAAAAAAAATAAAACTATGTGGGTCAGGGATTTAGCTCAGAGGCACCGTGCCTGTGGTACTGAAAAAAAAAAGCTATGTGCAAAATACCATGGAACATCTATAGTTGCAGTACTACACTAATTAATACATTAATTTAATCCAATGCAACCTAGAAACTGTAATGTTTTACACAGAATATCTCTCTTTTTTTTTGCTTTTTTTGAGGAAGGGTCTCCCTTTGTAGTTCAGGCTGGTCTTGAACTCACTGAGATCCTCCTGCCTCAGCCTCCCAAGTGCTGGGATCACAGGCGTGCGCCACCACACCCGGCTTAAAGTATCTCATTTTAATTCTCGAACCAACACTGAGTTAGGTACTATTATCATCCTTTTTAATAAAGTCACTGAGAAAGAGGTCCAGTGACTTCCTCAAGGTTACACAGCTACTAGGTAAAATAGATTCCAGATGTAAATTCTCAATCATGGAGTTATGCCGTTCCTGTGTTCTTCCTCGGTACAACCAGTAATCTCTTTATTACACTGGCAGCTTCAGACACACAGACACACAGACACACACACACACACCCATCTATATATTTATGCGATGTCTGTCTCTTTCCCTCCACTTATATATTTACAGGCTCTCTCACTGTAAATGTGGTCATCCCAGGGGATCGTATACCAATGGAAAGCCATTCAAGCCTTAGCTAAGGCAGTATTCAGAAAACTCAGCAAATGTCCATTGTTATTTTGTGTCTCAAAATAGTCCTTAAAGGAAGGTTCTGATCTTTCCTGAGCTGTCATTATTACCAAGACTGTGTTTTTCAAAGATTTCCAAAACTTCACACTTCAGAGAGAGGCAATACAGTAGGTGATACTCCCTTGGCTTGTTTTCTAATTTGGTTCAAAAGGTAATATATGCTTGCTGGAGACAGCTGAGCAAACAGACTTAAAGCAAAGTCTACCTGCAATCCTAACCACTCTTCAATTTGTGATCATACTGCAATATTTTTTTAGATTCTGCATTTTTTACTTTACTTTATCAATTTCTTATTTATATTGCTACTTTTCCCCATCTTTTTTGCATCTGCATAAGATAAAAATAGCCAGTGGGCTGGGACCAATAGGTTAAAGGTCTTGGCAAGCAATATGAAATTGGTGTATATTCTTTTAGGTAAAAAGCCCATTGGTACTTGAACTAGGAGCATTTCTTGTACAAAAACATGATAAAGACAGCAGGCTCTCAAGCCAGGTGCCTGGGGCTGAACCCTGACTCTGCCACGTAAGAGTTGAAACTTTAAACATATTTCTTACTACTGGCAACCACAAACATCTGGAATAAATTAAGGAGGCCTATGTGCCATCATACATGTGTTACAGTACAGTCAGATGGAAAAATACCAAGAGGCAGTGTTTTCCTACCTCTAACATCAGGTGAACCTCTTTGATTTGAATCCTGGTACAGACAATTCTATTTCTGAGATCCAGGACTAGCTTCTTAGATAGCTGGTGTCTCACAGGTGACTTCATTTGTAAAAATGCAGATGAGACAACAGTACCTATGCTCACAGGGCAGATGGAAGGATAAAATCAGACAGCATACACTGGGGCTTGGAACAGCGATGGGCACCTAGGCAACGCCCCGTGAATGTTAGCTCTCACCCGCATATTTCAGGCAGGAAGGAGACACGAATACTGCTCTGGAAAGATAATTCCGGTACCAGTATTTAGGGCAGTCTGGGTGAAGAGACCCTCCCAACAGTGGTATATGGTCCTTTCATACTCCACTGCTCACAGGATCCACAAAGGCTGCTGAACTTTATCCATCCTTCAGTACAGACTTCTAACAAAGCAGAGACTGCTAACATTGGACTACTAAATGTGAAAATACAAAATCTACTAACTGCAAAAACATACTTTTTTTTTTGGTACTGGGGATCGAACTCAGGACCTTTCGCTTGCCAGGAAGGTACCGGCACCACTGAGCTAAATCCTGGGCCCTGCAAAAACATATTTAATGTGAAAACTACATAAAATATGAAAAATCTTAAAAGAACTTACTGTCTCAAAAAATATTTGCATCATCCGGGCTCTCTTTTCTTCTGCACTCAGTCCTTTTTTCTTTGACTAAAACACAGAAGGAAAAAGGTAAATGCTGCATTTTTTAAACACTGCATTTCAAACAACTCGGTGTGAAATGTTACCTGAAATTCTGTGCATGGTCTTATCTGATATCAACAGGTTTGATACTCTGAGTCAAGCCTGCCTTGTCGTTTTTAATTACTGTGCCAATCTCTGTGGTAGGTGCTACCAGTGTAATAGCAAGAAGAGTGCTTAAGACACCGCCTGGCATTTCGCAGACGTTAAATATTTATAAAACGAACCAACGGCAAACAACTATATTTACCTTCAAAAGGTTTACAAACTCTCACAAACACTTACAACTAATGAACAGCGACATGCCTAAGTGCCCAGGACAGGATGGATTGATTCCACCTGGGGAAGGAGAAGGAAGCCCAGAGATGAGAGGGCTTTGGAAGTTGAGAGACCCTGAGAAGGGCGCCTTGGGCAGACCACACGTGGGCACAGCCAAGTGGTCTGCTGCCGTGAGGGCTTTGGAGGGGGAGTGCAGGTTAGAAAGGGAGAAAGAGATCAGAATGTTAGATGGCATTACGGAAGGCCGGCGGGGACAGAATGGCTTTCATTCTAAATAGCGAAGAACCAGACTAAACTCTAATGCAGGGGAGTAACAAGATTAAAGAGATATTTTGGCGTACTGATTGTGGTACTAATGGGAAGAGTAGGCTAGAGGAAGGAAAAGCCTATCCAAGTAGAAAATTGGAGCCTCCTCGGGTTATTATTCTGTAATACTTTAGGCCAATTTGAAATTAAGATAATCAATATATAACTGAAATGTATAAAGACATTTTACTATCTACTGTATATAGAATATGTGCATAGAAAGCTAAAGTCCCGCTTCTTTGAAAAGCCAAATTTCAACCCAAAGATTTGCAGAAAAAAAGACAAAACCAAAAACCCGTGAAAAGCATCATTTCTAGCTCTCCAACATGGAATTTCATACTAGTGTTTCTTAAATGATCTGCACCTTTCTCAAAAATTAGATGTGATCACAGGGAAACAAACCATTTACTTAAGAAACAGGCTTAACGAAGATGACACTATTCAACCAAAAACTCCACGGGAAAATGTCACTCTGAGACACAGGAGGAAGGGATGGGGACAGCTAGTCTGACTACATACCTGAGTACGTAAGTCTATGCTTTTTTCAAAACCTAGAGACTCACTAACTCTTTTCAGTGAGTGGTTCTGTTTTTCTTGATGAGTCATATAAGTAAGCAGCCTCAAAACTCCTCAGTCTACTCTGAAACAGTGCAGTTCCTCAGAGTTTGGCTACTGATCCCCTCATCTGCTCACACCTTTCCTTTGATCTCACCTGCCTTCATGGCTTTAATCACCAGAGCTGAGAGCTCAAATCTTTACATCTGTCCCTGAGTGTGCTCCTGGGCTTCAGTCTCATGTACCTACCTGCCAACTAGACAGACTTCAAACCCAAGCGCTCCAAACCAAACCTCCTTTCGAGCACCTCCTCCCAAACCTGCTATTCTACACCCATACCAGCCACCTTGTTATCCACCCCAGAGGCACGGCAGTCATTCTAGGGGCTTTCACCTCTCTTACTCCACATCCAACCCAGCACCAGGTTCTGCCAATTTCGGTGCTTAACTGTTTCTCTCTTTTGTCCGGCTGGCTCTGTCCCTACTACCACGACCCTGGTTCAGGCCTTCATTATCTGTCTCCTGCAATATACTTTCAGTAACCTGTTTTTGTTTTTTTTTTTGGTACTGGGGATCGAACTCGGGACCTTGCGGTTGCGAGGCAGGCGCTGGAACCACTGAGCTAAATCCCCAGCCCTACTTTCAGTAACCTAACCACACTGTCTCACCTCCAAGTTCACCTTTCCCACTGTGAAAAGGCAAATCTGACCGTGCCTCTCCCTCGATGAAAACCTTGCAGTGGTTCCCAACCACCAGAAGTATCCATGCACCCTAGCTGGATGTAGGCCATCTATCACCTGACTCCAACTTACTTGTCTCAGCCGTGGCCCTCTTCAACTTCTGCCTAAAAATACAACGAGCTAAGCAAGTTGGGCTATAATATAAAGACTGTTCTCTACCCGAAGCGCGCTCTAACTTCTGTGCCTTTTAAAAAATGTTCCTCCACCTAAAACACCTCTTCTTGCATATTCCAACTCCAGAATGTCTCCCGAGGCTCGGTCCAGGCACGCTCCTCATGGAACTTCCCTGCTCACAAGCTATGCCTGTGTTTCCAGGGCACACTTTGATCAGATTGTTTACTGCGCTAAGGAGAATTTACTTGTCTCCACTCAGCAGCAGACTGAAACACTTTAGAACATGAACTGCCTTGGCCCTCCCTGGCTTAGTAAGCCAGGTTAGATAGTCAGGCCTGCATTGTAGAAGCCTTCAGCTCTAAAATTTGAAGCCGCTCAGACTCCCAAGCCCCCAGTACCTGCCACACTTCCATACATACTTACGCAGGGAGAATTAATAATGGGGAAATCTGTGATAACTACCCACTGCCTTGCTTGCAGAGAGAAATCGGAGAAATTTCAGGTAGGCAAGCTCCAGGAAACCATGTAGACCTGTTCACTAAACCTAGGGCTGAGAGCTAGACTTATCAGTCTCCCTTTGCAGTATCTGAAAATCAAGCAGAGATCCACACCTAGTTAGAAGGCTCCTAGAAGGCTCCTCGGCTCATTTCTTGATTCCAGTGGGTCTCGAATTGCCATGCATTAGAATCATCTCAGGTGCCTGTCTGAAAATACAGATCCCCAGGCACATCCTGTATGAACTGGGCATGTCTATTTTATTTTTTTCGGTATGGGGGATTGAACTCCGGTCCTTGCACTTGCACAGCAGGTGGAGAAACCACTGAGCTAAATCCCCAGCCTGGGCATGCCTATTTTAAAGGTGTTTTAACTGTGTCCTACGGTTGATAACTTTTTTTCTCCTCCAACCAGATCTAGAAGACATTGGGGGCTCAGTGGGAGCAGTAAGTCCCTTAGGACTTTACGGCTGCTTTGGCAGAAAACAAGCCCCAAAGTAGCAGGAAAGGTCCTGGCGTCTGGCATCATAAACAGCTGCTGGGAAGGCCTTGCACTCCACCAGCCTGGCAGAGGCAGGCAATGATAAAGGGAATCTAGTGTCCCCGGGCACAGCAGTAGGGAGGCTCTCAACACTAAGAGCTTATAAAAGTTACTCAAGAAATGCAGCTGTGCTGGAGCATTCATTTACAGTGCTTTCACTCGTTAATCTCTTATGATTAGAAAGAATTTTTAACCATTAACTACAGTAGGACAGTATTATGGCCGAAATTAAAATAACTACTGTAAAAGGATGTCATATTAATATCTCCATTTAGAAACGTCAAAAAATTAACAAGGACTTACTCAGTATTTAAGACTAGGAAAATTATCCTGATAGTGTGATTCAGAGAGGTTTTCAAATTAGTAAGGAGACTCAAAACTTGGCCTGAGGACTATGATGCTTCTTCATTAACCAAAGTATTTTAAATGGCTTAAAAAACCTTGTGTCTGAGGTCTACAGAATTTACAGAATTCCTAATACCAGTCTTGTTGGTCAATTACAAGAAAAATTTTTTTTTCTTTGGTACCGGGGATCGAACTTGGGTCCTTACGCTTGCGCAGCAGGCAGAGAAACCACTGAGCTAAATCCCCGGCCCTACAATAAAATTTTGAAAAAAACAGAAAGTTGTTACCTGCCGCCCTCTGAGTTGCACTTCTCCAATTCCAAAAATACGCCCGGACTCATAAATGTTTACCCATCAAGCCTGACCAAATCAAAACAGTTATCAACTGACAAGGAAGACAGAGGATAAAGTTTGTCTTTTACCGCCATAACTAATCTTATTTCTTGATCACATATGTAAAGAACAAGTCCTTATCTATGAACGGTTTTATGTGTCGCATGCTTCTCCATGATCAGACGCATCCAACGTGGTAACAGCACATTAAATCATTTAATATCAGGTGATCAATGTGTGAAAAGATTAGATAAAAGCACGAAATCGATGTATTGTCCTGCACAGTTCTCAGTAATCAGTTATGTTAGGCGCCAACTCCACAAAGAGAAATATAACACCAAGCACTGGCAACAGACTTGTTTTAAGTTTGATCTGGTAGCTTCTTGGACCATTTTGTGCCCAGGTGACTGGGTTGGTAGTTTAACCACAAAGAAGCCGTTATCGGTTAAAATACAGCTGGCCGAGTATCTGCAAATAAACACAGTACCCCAGATCTTTGTCCACCACGACCTCTGCAATATAACGTCCACTTCGCTAAATTAAGGTATTAAAGTCTTCGCTCTTTTTAATCAGACATTGATTTTCTGCCAACAGAAGCAGAAAAAAAAATGGCATGAAACTCTGAAGGTTTAGGAAATGATTTGATGAGCAGAAAGACGCTAAGTCCACAGAGCAGACGCTCCGAACCCCGGCGGGACCCGAGCCCTCAGGGCCCGGGGAAGGAGGCCGACTCCGCGCGGCGACGCCCCGGGTTTCCAGGGACCCCGCGACGGGACGCCGTGGGCTCTGCCGGGCGCGCTGCGGACCGCGGGGCCCGGGCTCCCTCAGCCGGGCCTCTCGGGGCCCAGCGCTCCAGCCGCCCGCCGGGGCCGAACGCGGGAGCAGGCCCGGCGACCCCCGCGCGAGGCGAGGCCGGGGAGGAAGCAGCCCCGGGACGCGGCCTCTGCTCTTACCATGGCGCGGGTGGCGGGCCTTCCGGCGGAGAGCCCTGCGGGGGGCGAGGGGTGAGTTTGACTTTGGCGCCAATTGCTCGGGGCGGAGCAGGAAGGGGAGCAGGGCGGGGAACTGATGGGCCGCGTCCGCACGGCGCGCAGCGACCCCTGGCGGCCCCGCCGAGCGAGGGGCGGGGCCTGCTCCCGGACAGAGGGTAGGGTCTGGGCCGGGATAGAGGGCGTGGGCCGGGATAGAGGGCGGGGCCCGGGCCTGGACGAAGGGGCGGGGCCTACGCGTAGTCCCGCGCTCTAGGCCGCCGTGTCTTCTCCCTTTCTGGATTGACTGTCCCTGTTTTCTAAAAAGAAAGATTTGAGCCCTCATTTTTACACGAGTTTCCTCGGTTCCGTGGCTGTCTGACCTGTTTGGGTTAAAAGTGGAAGGCTTGGCTGCGGGAGAAGAAACCACTGCCTCGGCCTACCCGGATTCGTCCAGTGCGGGACGACGCTGCGCCGGTCTCTTCTAATCGTCCCCGCTTCTCCCGGCCGCCACCCGCTGCTTTTCCCGCTGTAAAAGGCTGTCGTATGCTTGCTTTTCCCTTAGGCTTTTTAAAAAGGAAACAAAATGAATTTAACATCAGAAGGGTGGAAAATACACTCCTCATAATAGTAGCTGCGAATTCAGAGCAAAAGCACCGTTCCCTTACCCTGAAAAGTGCTAACAATTTTCACTAAGACGTCAATCGTATCGAACCACTCTAAAGTGTAGTAATTTTACTAACATCTTAAACAATGCCATTAAAGGTATTTGTAGTCCTTGTTGCTTATTACAGCAGGAGGGGGCGCTGGGTTCCATTCGATTTTTCTGGAGCACACAGGACAGAATTCTAAACTAGTAAATGGGTAGCCAATTAATACATGCTTAATATGTACTAGAAAAATATTATGCATATTGTGTGTTATTCATGCATTGGTCATCCTATGGCTAAAGTAGGTATTGTATGTCAGTTTAAGAAAAGGAAAGCTATAAGAAAAAACAGTAAAATGTTAGCATTTGTGGGCAGTCTTGTGTCGCTCTGCCCTGAGATTACCTTGTGTCTCCTGTCCCATCAGGGATACAGGTCCTCACCTGCCAACTTTCCCCATCCTTCAGACAGCTCAGTTGGAGCTTCCAGGAATCCCATCTCCCAGGCCACCTCACAAATGTAAGAGAGACCACAGAAGAAAGGAACAAGGCTTTTCCATGGTCCCATAAATTGTGCAGCTGTCTTTATTGTATTCATTTGTCTCATCCCAGTAGACCAAAATTCTACGAGGTCAGGGACTTCCTCATTTCCTGCTATTCCCTACTGGCTAGAACAGTAATGGAACATATTGTACTAATAAATATTTGTTAATGCACTCATAGAAAGTAGCTCACGGTACTCCCAAGTATCTGGCCTGTTTCACCAGACTGGAAGCTCCTAGGTGGTACCGGCTTCATTATTCATCTTTGTATGCCTAGGCCTACCTGAAAGTCTGGGGCACCACAGGCGTTTACGATTGTTCAGGGCCTACAGCAACGAGACAAAGGGCAGTAGTTTGGTGGAGGGGTGAACGTCACTTTGCACTGCCTGCCTCCCAACTTTGGCAGTAAGAATCTGCAGCTCGGATTCCTCTGTTCTGGAAAGGGATGTTTCGGGCTTTATGTGGAATGTGTTTCCAATGCACACTCTGAGATATGTTATCTTGATATGTGACCCAAATGGCTTGTGAAGTACTCCAATCTCTGAGTCTGAAAACCCCCAAAGAACCCATGACACCAAGGGTACTTGCTTGGGTTAAATAAGTGAACTGAAGTAGGATTCAATAATATTAATGTTCACAGTTAGTTATCAGTGGTGTTATGTTTGGTCTTTGAAAATTTCTGTTGTTTCATCTTTAAAACTAACTTAGATCATCTTTGTCAGAGTTCCAATTTATTTTGGATGTTTTTAGCCCTTTAGAAAATAAAGAAATCCTTCATTATTTACAAAGGACACTTCACAGTTCAATTAAGATGAATTTTAGGGTTCATGGCATCACAGCAAATACAAATCAGAAATTTAATGATTTAAAAGTCTGTAAGTGTAGTGTATCAGGAAAAACAAGTTGCAAGGAAACATGTAAACATGTAAAAAAAGAAAAGCCAATGACTTGTTTATAATCAGGAAAGAGCTAATATTTCTTTATAGAAACACGAGAACAAGTCTAGACACCAGTCACAATTGTGGGAAAGATACTGGCCTGTAGATGGGGCCTCTAAAATGGCAACTTTAACATTATGAATAGAGATTATGTTTAAGAAATGTTTACTTGATTTTGAGAAAGGCTGTGGAAACTAGCTTCTTTGCAAATATATGACATATGTACATTTATCACCAGGCTCCTCCAGAGAATGAACTGCCAGAGGACTGTACAGATGTGTTCTCTGGATGGTTTGAAATGTGTGATCAGCAGCTTGATAGAACGTAGAATTTTTTATTATAAGGAATTCCATGTAATTAAATTCTGGGGCCTAAAAATAATGTTGGTAGTGAGGTCCCTCTTGAGTACTTCATTCCCCAGAAATGTGTCTCCCATGCCCACCAGAAAGTCTCTATCTTAAGATCCTTTAAGGGTTATAAGGACAGTGATTTTTTAAAAATATTTTTATATCTTTCTAAATATACATGTTATGTTTTAGGGCTTTCCAAATTCCTGTTTAAGATACAGTACACGCTAAAGACTACTAGATGATTAGCAAAGTAACAAAATTTTACTAAGCTTTTTCTTACTAGTATAAAAGTTTGGATGAGGTATTGCTTGCTATCATCCACATATTCTACAACAATCCCTTCACTCAGGGGAACAATCTGTTAAATAAACATTCACCCTGGAAATGGAGAAAACAAGCTTTATTATAATGATTTGAGATTTTGTGCATGGTAAAGATATACATATGAATCTTGTTTCTCCTAGGTTTCAAGACAGAATTAATTTAAAGTTTTATTGTAGACTAAAGCATCCAAAATACTGTGGTACGTATGTAGCTACGAACATACAAACACTTTGATGCACAGCGTTCATTCTCTTCTTTAAATAGGCAGTCAGCACTTTGATTCATAAAAGAACAAATGATGAGAATATCAGTATCAATGTCAGAGAGCAAGACTTAGTGTTCTATACACAAAATGTATGAAACAGAGCTATAAAGATGGAATGTAAAAATAAAAAGAAAACGAAGCAAAAAACCTTCATACTCATACATAGTATTCAAAAGCTATAGAACTGAGAGTGATATAAAGGATTCTATTACAAGAATACACTCTGATGATGACAGAACATTCCAATGTCATAAAGCAAAAGCACTGAATTTAAGGCTGTGTTGCTTTCGAAAATTAGTGGAAGTGCTGTACATTCAATGGAACAACATAGCCAATTTATTAATCTATTCTAGAATATTAATAGCTTTCATACATTCTGCACAAACAGACCACACAATCACTGCCTCACAATTCATCTTTAAAAGTTTTTAAGATTAGCATCATGATTTGTAGCTTACTGTCATTTAAAACAAAACAAAAAATTATTTATTTATACCAAGTAAATCTTTAATGGGCACTTAGTTTCCTTTATGGCAATACTAGATTCCTAGTTATCAAAAATATTAAAATAATTGTAAAGTTTAAAACCCTGCAACATTTACAGAACGCAATAGTATCATGACTTTTTCAGTTTTAAGCAGAATTAGATAAGGTTTGCATCCAATAGTTTTGATTTCCTCTTCTCTGGAATTTTTTTGATTCTTCAACTAAAAACACTCCTACCTTTTCATAAGCTGGTCAATAAAGAGGAACAGAGTTCAAATGTACAAAACATTCTTCTCATTTGAAGTAATCAGCAATGCTATCTGCTGTTGACTTGCTATTTCCTCAGATTTACCCGGAAGGTACTACTACCAAAGCATTTGTGTTCCTCCTCAGTGGAAGGATCCCCCGACCCTTGCTAGCGTACTGCTATTCCAGTTAGTTCCATGAGAGGACATACCCTGTATTTAGTAGTGGAAGCAAGTGTGCAACAGTTGCAAGGATCTGGAGTATTTATTTACTTCAATCTAGTCGTAGACTAAATGAAAGTTAAGAAACTTGGGGACTTGTTTAGTTATGGGGACTAAAGTTTCACTGAAATACTACATAGCATTAAAAAAAAAAGGGGTCAAGATTCATGAAGGCTTTTGTTCATAGTTTCCGGATGGTCATGTGACTCCCCACCTTCCCATGGCCAGCAGGGGAGGTCTGTGTAGGGAGAGAACGCGTTGTCACTGACCTTTAAATTCTAACTGGCAATATTTTGCCGGAAGTGCCCAGGAGAAATCTGAATGAGTACTTTTTCAGTGCTACTTATCATGAACGTATGACAGGTTCTATACACTTGACAAGGAGAAATCAAACAATAATGGTAGCCCAGAAAAAAGCCACTTATTTTAATATCCTTCTCAGTTTACCAGAAACCATTTTCTATAGAATGTGACAAAATTTCATCTAAATCTTGTCTATCTGTATCTTATAAGCAGCACTTTCCCCGAAAATATGCTTACCAGGAAATACAGTAAACACACGTATGTATCCAGGTGTGAAATGTTATCTATAATATACATGATTACATATTTTGGTGGGAAAATATAGTAGTTCCTGGAGTGCCTATAGCATGTGTTTTAGTAACAGATAGTGGAACAGGTCCAGGTCAAGCTATCTGTTCTTCTATTCCAGTTTGCAACATGTAAAAAAAAAAAAAGTTTTGTGTTCAGCCTATTACTGGGATATCTGGATATCTAGTTTGATATGATATAATGGCTGATTAGTTTATAAGTTAATTTCTAAGTTCACAAACATTTTGATGTTGAAACAAAAAGCTTCTTTATCTAAATTAGTTTTAAAATCAATGGCTATAGGGCTGGAGATTTAGCTCAGTGGTTCAAGCACTTGCCTCACAAACACAAGGTCCCGAGTTCGATCACCAGTACCAAAAAAAAAAACACCCCAAAATCAAGGGCTAAAAGCATAGCTCAGTGGGTAGAGCACTTGCCTAGCATGTATGAAGACCTAGGTTCAATCTCCAGCACCAAAGAAAAAGAAAAAACGTCTGTGACAATTTAGACAGAAATACATTCTTACTTAGGAAAATAAACTAAAATTAATTTAACCAGTTTAAAAACGTTTTCTTTTAAATGGTCCAAGAATCTAGCCTATCTTTCAGTTGGAATATTAGTAAATTGAAAAATGAAATTTCTTCCCCAGAGTGTAAAGTCCAAGGGACAGGAATTTTTGTCTATTTATTCCTTGCTCTATTCCTAGTGCCTGGATTTATGGATGGGTATTTAAATTTGAAGACCAGGTCTACAGGTACAGCTCAGTGTTGAGCTCATGCTTAGCATGTAAGAGGCCCTGGGTTCAATCACTGACACTGAGAAAAAAATAAAATAAAATAAATTCAAAGACTCATTTCAATGACCTTAGGAAACAATATCTTAGTTTAACATTCTAAAAATTAGAATTAGTAAATTTTATGACTTTATCACAGATAGGCTTGAATATTTTAAAATCTACATAAATAAAAAAATACTAAAAAGTATTTTTTGGGTGTTGATTTGGGTGTAATAAATTTAACAGAGAACTGGAAGTAGTTAGATTTCCCTTCTAAATTTTAAAAAGTTCTATGTAGAGAAGGACTGGATTTTAAATTAATAAGAAATAAACATCACATTCATATAATAAGTTCAGAAAATGCTTTCTATAGTACAGCTCTAAGGTGCTTTCAATGAAAAAGATCCCAAGTCACTATCGAAAATGTCAAACACAACATTATATTTGGTAGAACTGAGTAGAAAATTAAACAGTGGAAATAGACTGAATCTTACTGTACAGCATTAATGACAGGTGAACAACTGACTAAACTGTTCTTAACAGTTCTCAAAATGCTTTTATAGTTTAAATTAAATATAATTCAACTTTTCATCTTTTTTTTCCTTCTCTCCTTTGTCTTCTTCCTTCAAAAGCACAGAAAGCCATTTTCTGACTAAACATCAGCCACCATCATTGTTCCTGGAAAACGGGCAAAAAAATTAAACTTGCCTTTGGGCTTCCTCCATGAGGACAGCATTAAGCTTCACTGGTAAAGGAATATGCTGCAAAATGGCTAGATAACGCTTCTGTCTTTCAGAGTGCTGCCTATTTCAATACACCAAAGATTCAGCTATATATATGTATATATTATACATTCTATCTTACCCTAATCATGTATACATAATCCCTTAATGCCTCTACTATTCATTAAACATGATAAATAACCGTAACATGCCCTTACCTGTAATGCTCTCGAGATAACAGAACTTTGGTAACACTTTCTCTCTAAGGGGAAATCACGAATCAATCACATGCCTTTGGTTGACACCATGGAGTCCTCCAAAGGGCTCTTTATGGCTCTCTGTCCTAGGATACTGGTGTCCTACTACATGTGCTGACGTTTTGCAGGAGGTAAAGCTTTCGCTTTCACAAAGTGGAAGAGGAAAGACACGTGAAAACATGGCACATCAAACGTGACTTTTTCTCCGTAACACTCCAGTATGTTAATCTGGAGCTATTCATTGAACAGAAGGTAGCGTTGCTTTTGTAATATAATTTTCAAAGCATCAGGAATTTCAGGTTCCCTTGAAAATGGACTTTGTTTTTTGATAACAAGGTGAGCAGGAAAGAGGTGGAAAAGAACAAACAAAGATGATCTTTGATCTAAACCTGAAAGGTTAGGAAATTTGCATTGATTCTTAAGTGCTCAACTCAAAAGGCCGGCTGATCAGAGCTGGGAGGACTTGCAAGAGTAATTCATATGCAGTCATTGATAACCCAAACAGTGTCACAAGAGTAATACCTACTGTGAAAGTGAGGTTAGAAGATTTCCTGGGTCTTGTGACCTAGGTGTAAAAAGTATATAAGGACAACAGATTTTGTTTTGGGGAGCTTTGCACAAAGGTGCCCATTCACAAGATTAACAAGTATCTTCACATATGCTAGAATATTTTTAACTGTTTGTTTTGCAAAATTAGTTGAACTACATAAATCCCTGTCCTACAAGCCATAGTTCACAGGTGTAAAACTTTGCAGTTTTCAAAGATTCAGAAGAGATTTTTTTTAACCCTAAAGGTGATAATGCTGGAAACTGGATAAGCAGTTTTTAAATAAATTGTTACATTCAGAAATAACCTTGGAAAGTTTACTGAAGATTCCTTCTAGCACGAAAAGTCTGGTCATAATGTGGTCCTGGGTCAAGAAATCCACTTCAGTTTATAGTGCGAGACCTTCGGGAGGACTGTCCAGCCGCAGGCTGTTACTGTAAGTATCGGTAGACTTTGAAACAGTGATTTCCAGAGTCTGCAACCACAACGTGACCATCTGAAGTCAGGGCCAGGCCTTGGGGGCCGTACAGGGGATCAGCAGATGTGTTAATGTAGGACAAAAATGATCCGCTCCCATCAAAAACCTGCAAAAGCATGAAGTCAGAATATAATAGAAGTAGTTTTGTGATATGAAGTACATGTTAGAAAACCCATGGTGCCAATGTTTTTAATCTAAAAGCATGTAAATAACCCCCTAGGTTTGCTCAGGCCGAGGTCACACATGGGACTCTTCTCTTCCCCTGTACTTCCCTTGCTTGCTCATTGTAGTTCCTGTCCTCAGAGTCACTGACACAGATTGTGCCTGGGTGGCCAAACTGCACTCTGTCCCTACAGTGGTCACACAGGAGTAGGGTGGGAATGGCATGGACAGGCTTGAAACATGAATGACCCTTATTTTTCATGCTGAGCTTCTTTTCCTCCCAGCCTCTCATTCCCTTTTCATGCCCAATTTTATGGGAGGAAAAGCAGCAGCTAGACCACAGGAGAATGACCCTGAGTCATAATGTACAACAATAAAATTCCGATTTCTTTTTCTCTTTTCAGAAACAAAGCTGTAAGAAGTCCATGGTTGAACATGTACGTTAGGAGATGAAAGGGTCTCTTTTTGGTCTATTAGCTTCTGCTGTGATGAAATAAGAGGAAATGTCCAGGACCTGTACACTTCTCCCCCTTCTCACGGCTCGGCTGTTTTCATCTGACCATTTTGCTGGCCTGCACGGCATTTTAAAAGGCAACGTCAATGGGTAGGTGCTGTGAGGTCACAACACGAACAGCTTAGCAGCCTGTGGGTCTGCTCTGTGCACTTAGCTCCCTGCCTCAATGATGGCTTCTTACAACATCAGACCCTGGAAACATTCTCCTGAGATGCAGAATTCTCTTTCAGCGCCCATGTCCTTGGGGATAGGTAAACAAGGTAAATATGGTGGTGAAATCAAAGCCTTCTGTGTTATATTTGTGGCCTCAGTTCTGCTGAGAAGCAGTTACCTCTATCTGATTTGAACAGAAGGATGCTGCTGCCCTCACAGAGACATTGAATGCCCCAGATTCAGCCAGTGCCCTCGCAATCAACACACACTACTCCGGCATCGTGAAGACCTCCTTCCTGCTGGGCTCCCTGGTGCACACGGAGGAAGAGCACATTGCTGGGTGCGTGGTTACATCCACGCAGGCATGATCACAGAGAAACAGGAGCGAAGTCTTTCTTCCACTTGAGGATTTAGAAGATTTGTTCTTCATATAGAGTCTATCTTTGAGGGGCAGGGAGTGCTGGGGGCTGAAACCAGGGCCTTCACACTGAGCTACATCCCCAGGCCTTTTTATTCTTTATTTTGAGATAGGGTCACGCTAAGTCACGAAGTTGCCCAAGGTGGGCCCAAACTTGCAATCCTCCTCTTTCAGTGTCCCAGATAAGGTGTGTGGCCCCGAACGTGGCTGTGTAAAAGTCAAACTTTCATGCAGCAGGGCTCCCTTTGGCAGGCTGGCAAGGGCTACAGATCCCATCTCAGAAGTATACTGTCACACTGCCGCCCACCCCAGAATGCAACCAAACGCCAAATGCCATCCATGATACCATTATTTCCTAAATGATGAAAACAAATCATCACCATTATTCCTTTTTTAATCAACTTTTTATTTTGAGGTAATTACAGATCTGCAGGAAGTTGCAAAGATAACAGAGGTCCGCTGTACCCTTCATCTGGTTTGCCCAGCTGGTTACATCTGTAACTATACTGCCATGCAAACCCTAACACAATAGCTTCTGAGATGTGTGTGGTCAGTAGTCACTTTATCACGTGTATTTCTGCGTAACCATTCCCTCCTCGCTATCAGCGTATACTACTCCACCATGATGAAGACCTCCCTCTTGCGACTCCTGGTCAGTCACATCCACTCGGCCACACTCTCTCCATCCAGAACCTTCGCTTCCCAACACAACCTGTTTTCCTCTCCTATAATTTCATTACTTTGACAGCGTTGCATGAATAGAATCATACGGTAAGCCACCTTTTCAAAGTGGCTGTATCCACTCAGCACAAGGCCCTGAGATGCATCCAAGTTGTTAAGTTATCAGTTAGTGTATCAGTTCACAGTATGGAAACACTACACTTTATTTAGCCATAAACTGATTGATAGAAAGCTTGGCTGTTTTCAGGTTTGGGCTATTACAAATACACCTTCTATGCACAATAATGTACTACTTCCATGTGGGCCTAAGTTTTCATTTCTCTGAGATAAATGCCCAGGATTCTAACTGGTAGATTGTTTGGTGGCAATGTTTAATTTTTTAAGAAACTGCCAAACTACAGTATTTTCAAGGCAGACTTACTATTTAATTCCTACTAGCAATATATGAGAGATTTAGTTTCTGTAAGTGCTCACAAGTATTTGGTATTATCAGTATTTTTTAATTTTAGCTACTTAAACAAATAAGGGTAGGATCTCATCATGGTCTTTAATCTGTGCTTCCCTAATGTCTAATGATATTGAGCACTTTTTTATGTATATATCTTTCCTCTTCATATTTCTTGCTCATTTTCTTTTTTGGGGGGAGAGGTACCAGGGATTGAACTCAGGATCTTGCACTTCCAAGGGAGGCGGGGCACCACTGAGCTAAATCCCCGGCCCCTCTTAAAATCTTTTAAAAGTTTATCTTCTACAGCATTATCTCCTAAAAGTCTTTTAGTTTTACATTTAAACCTGTGATCCATCTTGAGATCATTTTTTGGATAAGGTGAGATTTTATTTTTCCTTACTGGTTATTTTATTTGTTACAGTCCCACTTGTTGAAAAAGCTATCATTCCCTACCTTGATTGCTTTTGTACCTTTGTCAAAAAAATCAGTGGGCTGCACGTGTGCAGGGGCTGTTTGTGGACTCGACTCTCTTCCACTGATGTTGACTCTGTCCATCCACAATACCACACAGTTGGGATGATGCCAGCTCTGTAGGAAGGTGGTGTATCAGGCAGAATGATTCCTCTCACTTTATTCTTCTTTTCAAAATTGTTTTAGCTGTTCTCGGCCCTTTGCCTCGCCATAACAGTTTCAAATAATCTTGTCTGTAGCCACAGACAAATCCAGCTGGGATTCTGTGTTAGAGCTGTGGATCAGCTGATAGCCTTGCATTGTTGAGCTGAATGGTAGCCCTGCATGTGGACCCACTCACTCTGAGTCTGGTAATTCAGTTTGTCTCTCCATGTATTACTCAGATCTTCTTTGATTTCTTTCATCAGCATTTTATAGTTTTCAACACATAAATACTGGCTAGACTTTGTTATGATACCTAAGGTTGATTCTGTTTTTAGCAAAACAAAATTATTAATATTATTATATTAATTATATTTTAAATTTTGGTTTCCATGTGTTCATTCGTTGTTTTTGTTTTTGTTTTTTGTGACAGGGTCTCACTGTGTAGTTCAGGCTGGGCCTGAGCTCACTAGGTAGCACAGGCTGGCCTCAAACTTGCAAGATCATCCTGCCTCTGCCTCCTGAGTGGAGATTGCAGGCATGTGCCACCATGCCCGGCTGTTCATTGGTAGTATACAAAAATGTAAGTGACTTTTGTTATGTTGATCTTATATTCTTGCTGAACTCACCTATTGATTCTAGGATTTTTTTGTTTGTTTTTTGAGACAGGGTCTCACTATGTAGCCCAGGCTGGCTTCAGATTTGTAGAAATCCTCCTCCCTCAGCCTTCTGGGTGCTGGGATTACAGGTATGCACCACCATGCATGGCTCTAGGAATTTTTTCGTAGACTCCTTGGTGTTTTCCATGTAAATGATCATATTATCTGCAAGTAGGGAAGATTTAAAAATTTCTTCCTTTCCAGTGTGTAAGGTTTCTCCTTTCCCTTGTTAATTGTGCTAGTTAAGACTTCCAGTTGTATACTCATTAGGAATGCTGAGAGCAAACATCACTGCCTTGTTCCCAATCTTACAGGGAAGGAATTCAGATTTTCACCATCAAGTTTAGGAGAAACTGTAGGTTTCATAGGTATTCTTCATGGAGCTGCAAAAGATTCTCTCTACTAGCTTCCTGAGAGTGTTGTCATCAGTGGGTATTGCAAGTGGTCAAATGCTTTTTCTATATAATTTTTTTTTTTGGTACTGGGGATTGAACTCAGGACCTTGCACTTGAGAGGGAGGCAGCAGCACCACTGAGCTAAATCCCCAGCTTCTATATAAATCAATACAATCATATGCTTTTTCTTCCTTAGACTTTTCATGTGGCAGGTTACACTGATTTTCAAATACTGAACCAGTCTTTTTTTTTTTTTTTGGTTTGGTACCGGGGATCAATCTCCGGTCCTTGCGCTTGCACAGCAGGCGGTGAAACCACTGAGCTAAATCCTCGGCCCAGAACCAGTCTTGAATTCCTGGAATAAACTCACTTGGCCATAGAGGAATTTCATATATTGGTGAATTTTACTCCTCATTTGAGCCAAACTTTAACATGAACTCACCTTTCTGATTAAACACCTGCATTAAATACTTTAAAATTATTACAAGTTAAAATAATTGAGCCAACATTATAGATTTCTTTTTAAAAAATCTGTTTCTGTTTTGCTAAGAATTTTGGTATGTACACTGTGTACTCAAGAGGAATGCTGTTCTATGATTTTGTTTTTCTTTAATGTCTTAGTCTGATTTTGATATCATGTCCTCAGAAACTAAGTTGAAAGTGAGCTGAGAATTGTTCCCCTATCTTTATTTCCTGGAAAAAATTCTATAAAACCGGCACTAATTCTTCAAACATTCAGTAGAATTCTTCAGTGAAATCAAATGAATCTACGTATTGCTGGGGAGTTTTAAAATTACAAGTTTAATTTCCTTAATAGTTGTACGGCTAGTTATTTATTTCATATTGAGTAAGTTGTAAAGTTTCTATTTTCTGAGAAATTGTCCACTTTGTCTAGGTTGTCAAATTTATATGTGTAATGTTCTTCACAGAATTCCCTTATTGTCCTTTGATGTTTGTAGAGTCTGTAGTAATGTATTTTGTTCCCCCTCTCTTTCTCCTGTCAGTATTGCTAGAGGTTTGTTGATTTGATTGATCTTTTAAAAGAAGCAACTTGCTTGTTGATATTTTTAATTGTTTTTATGTTTTGAATTTCATAGATTCTGATCCCATCTTCACTACTGTCTTCCTTTGCTTTGGGGTTCTTTACTTCTATGTTTTTGCTTCTCAAGGTGGGAGCTTAGATTATTGATTCGAGCAAGAAATTTGCTTAATAATTACTGTAATGTTGTAGTGGAATGGGCATAAATGATAGTTTGGGATGTCTGTATCAAAACTATAAAAATTTCTGTGGTTTTTCTTGGTGACCACAGTCTGTGATTGTTGCCTATATTCCTAATTAAGGGAAGTGATAATTTTCAGTTATATATTAGCAGAGATAGAAACAGATTTCTTCAATTCCATCTACAAACCCTTTAAGAGTCTGTGAGATCCATGTTAAAAGAAAACCTAAATTAGAGGATTTCATCCTGGTAATACATTGCCCTTTCTTTGTCTACTCCACCTTCCATAGTTTGGTCCTGTTGGTGAGATTTTCTATGGTCTTATGATCTACCCTATGGAGAAGAGAAAACATCCCAGTCTGGGAAACAAACAATTCTTCACTTTTAACAAATACTACTAACCACATGACCACATTCAATAGCATTTTAATATACCTGGATCCTGCTGTTTCCCCAGTCTGCCACAATGATGTTCCCATTGGAATCCACTGCTACACCTGTTGGTGCATTAAACTGCCCATTTCCTTCACCATTGGAGCCAAACTTCAACATAAACTCTCCTTCCTGATTAAACACCTGTAAGAAATATTTTAAAATTGTTCGAAGTTAAAATAGTTGACCCAACTTTACACCTTAAAAAAATACGAACATGGGCCGGGGATTTAGCTCAGTGGTTTCGCCTCCTGCTGCGCAAGCGCAAGGACCCGAGTTCGATCCCCGGTACCGAAAAAAAAAAAAATACGAACAAGTTATTTATAGCAAGACTTGTGATTTAAGACACTCTGATAGAAAAGGAAAAAAAAAATCTATAAATCAAATCCCTGTATCACTTAGTGGCTCCCCAATTTGCCATATAAATATTATTCATCATTTCTTACATCACTCTTCTTTTTTCTATAATTTATATCTAGTTAATAAATACTTGGTGAAAAATTTTTTGGTATCAATCACAAAAGACTTTACAAATATAAGGCAGTATGAGTAAGGTTATAATTTTCAACAATATTATTCTTTCTACCTTTAAATATAGCAAAATTTCAAGAATGAGAATTTTATTTCTAACAGGATGGGTGCTCGTTCAATTTAGATCTAACAGTAGGAATTTCTTGTTAGGCCAGATAGTCAGAATTTACTATCATTTTATTACATCAACATAACAAAAAGAGGCTGGATTTTATGTACACAACCGGTGAAATTTAGTGTTTGTGTCTGTCAGAGAGACAAAGGGCTTTTTTATTCTCAGAAGGTAGTTTTCCTAAAATAAGTTTATATAATTCTATGGCTTTGATAAATAAATCTATGAAGACTCTTAAAAGTGAAGGAATAAATGAACTTTTAATCAAAATCTAGTACTGAATGTAGTCAAGCAATGGGTTAGTGTAGTTATTAATTAAACACTTACATGCATCAAATGCAGATTATGAATTCTGAATTAACATTTTAATGTGTTTAATGACAACACTATAGTAAGTATAATTTTATCTTGATGCTTCTGGTGATCCTTTTCCAATCTACATTTTTTCTTTTTTTGGTACTGGAGATCGAACTCTGGTCCTTGCGCTTGTGCAGCAGGCGATGAAACCACTGAGCTAAATCCCCGCCCCTCTGGTGATCCTTAATGGTTCTGAAATGTCTCTGTGACGCTATTTGAAACATCCATTACTATGGTTACCATGCCGCCTGGATGCATAAAAACAGTCCTTAACGAACTGAGAACTGAATCAACTGAATCGTACTGCGTTAAAGGCACCTTTAGAGTGAGGACTCCTCACATGTGGACCTGAGAAAGTTCACTATCTTTCAGAACAGGTCTAATTTGAAGATAATCTCGGGATCTTTAAGGGCCTCTTTAGTTCTTTAGAGACAGAGATAAGAACAACCAGCTTTCACTAAGAAGTAATGTTTTCAAATTTCTCCCTGGCTGAGGACTTGTGAATGTGGCAGAGGCTCAGCAGTGTGCATGAGGCCCTGGGTTCCTCCCCAGCAACACACACCCCCGAAATGCACGCTCATGCACACGTGCATAACAAATCCCTTCACTCAGTCGCCTTTTACATACAACACTTTAAAGACCAATGGGTGTGTTTATGCTGGTAAGGACACAATTTATGATTCCCTAATCTTTCCCTTGTTGATTCTTATAAACAATATTTGAGTTTGTTTGTGGTCATCTTTCTGCATCAGTATGATTTCCTTAGCACAATGCTTCTGCTTCATGGTGGAAGAATGGATATTGCCAAATCTTGCTTCATTTTGTGATTAGAAGAAATCTACTATTGTCCCCCTTTATCCTCCATTTAATTTTGCTCAATTTCAGTTACCTGTAACTATGGTAGGGAATTTTTCTTTTTGTTTTATTGAGACAGGATCTCACTGTGTAGTCCAGGCTGGCTTTGAACTCACTATGTAGCCTAGGCTGGCCTTGAACTCTCAGCAACCCTCCTGCCTCTGCCTCCTGCGTGCTGGGATAACAAGGGATGTGCCACCACACCACCCAGCACAACAGAAGAATGTGAAATGGAAAATTCCAGAAATAATTTATAAGTTTTAAATAACTTTATCATAGTATTGTATTATAGTATTATAGCATTGCTGTAATCGGTCTACTTTATTATTAGTTACTATTGTTTGTTGTTTACTGTGCCCTACTTGTAAATCAAGTTTTATCATAGGTACAGATGATAGGAAGAAACAGAGGCCATCTGCTAGCGGGCTTGGAACAGGCAGACTCTAGCTTGCAGCCCTCCTCCTCAGCCTCCCACGACTACAGGCGGGTACCACATCTGGCTATTTCTATTTTCTATGTTTACCCATCTAAAAGGTCCTTTATTACTTTTTAATTATTCAGATGAGAACATATTAAGAGGCAGAAGTATAAACTGAAATAAATAATCTTTATACCTTTTTTGGGGTAAGTATTTACAGCAACTTTAAAAAAATAATAACCTCCTTTCCTGGTTTCAAAATCCTGCTCATGTCAAATATCACTCCCACTTGAAGTCCTCCCTGAAAGTTTTAACTATGGTTCTGGTCCTCTCCCTCTCTGTTCTCTCCCCCTCCCCTCCTCTCCCCCTCCCCTTCTCCCCTCCCTCTCCTTCCGTCTTTCTGCTGGGGATTGAACCTAGGGCCTCATCTATGCTAAACATACAATCTACTACTGAACTACATTCCCACCCCCAGAAATCTTTTTTACTGCTCTTTGGCCCTGTTCAGATCTGTCAGAGTTTTCTTCTTGCTGAATGCCTTGTACTTAAATGAGTGAAGGACACGAAGTGTGACCACAGCCTGCACTGTCTGTGCGCTCCTGTGTGTGCACAACCTGACACACATGTGTGTGCCCATTCTACAGGACCGTTACGGCCCCTGGGAGGACAGGCACAGCCCATTTCCTGGGTCCCCTGGTCTCTGTTTCCCTCCTCCTCCTCCTCCACCCACCAAGGCTGACTTTCCCTTCCTCCTTGTGGTTTTATTTGGACACCTCCAGGTCCCTGCTACTCAGCAGGCCACACCCTTTCCCTGCCCTGCCCGCCTCTGGGGCTCACTGTGCTCTGCCCTTCACAGGGTGACTTGGCCTTTCCATCTGCTCAGGTTAAACAGATCCTGGGGGAGGTTTGGGAAATGAAGCAGTGAAAGGGAGAGGGAATCTCTGGGTGTTAAAAAATCCTACTCCCTCCCCTGGTTATTTATTCCAGTTATCAGCATTTACCTTTGGCTGCTCAATGGTTATCTCTAAGTGCAAATCTTAGTCATTGCCATATGACCCTATCCTATGCGGTTGCCTTATTATTTTTCCTTTAAAGTGACTCGCTTTTTAAAATTTAAATGAATTTATTTATAAAGAAAAATTTGATCACTTTTTATGACTGCAAACCAGTATCACTTGGTGGAAATGGAAGGTGGCCCTAAAAAATTTTTTTTTCAGTGCTGGAGACTGAACCGAGGGCCTCATGCATGCGAAGGAAGTGCTCTGCCACTGAGCTACATCACCGGCCCTAGTGACCCTAAAAATAAACACCTAACTCTACAATAAATGCCAGTGCACTCACAGATTGCAAAGTTTGACTTGAAGTATTGCTATTTTCTCATCATGACAGCAAACCAGAAATTTACTCTGGATTACTATATTATTTCTCAATTTTCTCATAATAAATTTCAAGTCTTTCTCCCCCTGTACTCAATAAGAAAGGTGTACTATGTTATTGGAGGAGGCAATTATTTTCTAAATAACACCAAATTATGAAAGCATTCTGAAGTGTGAAATATACTTCACGAGTGTATGTTAGGGTAATTCCTAATCCACTCTTGTAATGAGCTGTAATATCTAATTTTGTTTAAAAGACCCATACTTCAGGAAACTAAAAAAGTGCTTTTGTTTTAATCTGTTGAATAGCCACAAAATACACTTATGTTAAGCTTCTGAAAAATTTGCCTCTACTTTTAAGCAGTTGCTTTTTAAAATTTAATTTTCAAGTCATCTTCAATTACACCAGTTTCTAATTAAGACACTTAAGGTTGCATATTCTGTTTGGTTCCCTGACTCTCCAGTCTGTATGCTCATATTAAAACCCTCATTTTAAAGCAGAAGCAAAATCTACTCTTCCAGGTTAATGCCTTCAAGTCCTGTATGTCTATGCAAGTTATTTTCTCCCACAGGAATTTCTCCATAAAAAGAGTTAGAAGGTAACAACAACTAATGTGTAATAAATAGTACCTTGACAGAATGATTATGGAAATCTGTAACAATAATCTCATTATTGCTATTTACAGCTGCGAAATGGGGACCTGCAATAAAGATGGAAAAAATATGTGATTACTATAACGACAAAAATGATTACAACCTATCAAGTACTGTAACAAAAACAAACTTCATACATTCATTATTTGAGAAAGAACAAAGAATCAGAGACCCAGTCCTGGATGTATCATTCAGCCTGACCCCTGGCTCCAGAAAACCTGGATCCCACTCTGTTCCACACTTGGGGTTGTCTCCTCTGACTTCTCCCACGCCAAGAGTTCGAGCAGCTCTAACGGTGTGGAAGGAGCAGTAAGGCAGAAGAGTTCCTTCTCTGCACTACCATCTGAAAGCCACGCCTGACAGCTCCTTTGAATGTCTGTTAGTTTTCCTAAGGGTTCTCAGCGTCTACTGAGGAAAGACGTGGCAACTCTCAGCACCGGGAGAGAGACTCCAATATGTAAATTTTTTTCTAAAAAGTTGAGCAGAAAACCCATACTCTGTAATTACGGGTGACATTCAGAACCTGGCAGGACAAAGAACTGAAGACAAACGGCAAAGAAATGAATGCAAATTCATGTTAAATACCCAGAGCATCATTTCAAAAAGAAAATTGATGAACCGTGTGCAGCCTCTTCCTGCAGATGTGAAAACTGTTGCAAGCCTGTGACTGCAAAGTGGCACACCAGAAAGAGGAGGAGTCGGCCTTCACAAACACTCTGAACTCCTGTTTTCATAATAACCTAGAAACATGAAATACGTTTCCATTTCAATAAAGCTGCTACTATGGGAGACAGGAGTTACTCCTCTTTTCCTGAAACAGTTTTATTTTAAAAATGCATATTTTGGGCCTGGGGATTTAGCTCAGTGGTTCCGGCGCCTGCCTCGCAAGCGCAAGGTCCCGAGTTCAATCCCCGGTACCAAAAAAAAAAAATGTGTATTTTACTTAATATGTATCTTTGAAGATTAGGCTCCTATCACCAATAAAAACCACAGCTTTTATTGCGTGGTTTGACTTACAGCCAGTGGAGAGACCGAGAAGCATCTAACTATGCTCTCATCCCAGCATCCTTCCTTCCCAGAGCCACCAGCGTGCTGGGGACACGGCGCCTTCAAAATGCTACAGCCTCATGCAGGCGTGAGCAGAGGAAGCATAAAGGGGGGGGGGTTTACGTATCAACATTGAGTGTACCTGCAAACTGCCTGTCCCCATTTCCTCGGCTACCGAACTTGGTGACGATCTTCCCGTTGGGCTGGAAGATAAACACGCAGCATGCCTTGTTGTCCACCACAATGATGTGCCCGTTGCGGTCCACGGAGACTCCTTTGGGCCCCATCAGCTTTCCTGATCCAATTTTAGTCTGTTCGGAACAAGTGCAGAGATGGAGCATGGACCCCAAGTTCAAAACCCTGCAGACAGGGAGCCCCACACTTGTTTTAGTAAACACTGACTTGGGGGCCTCAACGGGGTTTGTGGCCACTCACTGTCACAACGATCTCCAGTCCCCAACAGTGACTCCATCACACCCATTATCTGCTCACGCCATTCACAGGAAAGCCTTATTTATCAAAGGCACCACCTCCAAAAATGCTCCCCCGTCCCTGAGACCATGTCACAGGGCCCTTCTTAGGAGGCAGTGCAGTCCACGGAAAGATCCTGGGTTAGGAGTCTTACAGCAGTTTCAGTGGTGGCAGGAGAAGCTCCTACTGTTCATTTTATACTCCTCTGTAGATGGACTTTAAAAGCCCACTTACACACATGACTATAAATTATTAAATTAAAAATGAAGATAGGCGTGGTGGTGCATGCCTGTATCCTAAGGAGAATCACTGCAAATTTGAGCCCTGGGGCTACATAGGGAGTTCAAGGCCAGCCTGGAGTACACAGCGAGACCTTGTCTCAAACAAAACAAAACAATTAAATTAAAAATTAACCCCCATTTCCTTCTCGTGGGTTTCTGCTTCAGATCCTCTATTTTCCCAGTCCACAGGATCATGCTGATAGAAATGCAATGCGAGCTGTATGTACATTTTACGTTTTTCTAGTAGAGGGATGGGAGCTTTCCCATGGTGGGGACTTGGACTTAGTAGAACCCTTTATTCCGTGGTTATCAATTACTGCGATTCAGTTCGATCCCTTTGGAGCAAAGGAAACACTGGCTTTTGTAGCAAGTAAATCTGCTGCACAAACCAGACTGTGGTGCTCCACACCGGCCCGAAGATCAGAGGCCACAACACAAAGGCAGGTAAAAACAATGGCAAATATTCTTTTCTAATTTTGGGTTTGTTTTTTTTTTTCAAGACAAGGTCTTGCTATGTGGCCCAGGTTGGCCTTGAACTTGCGGCAATCCTCCTGCCTCAGCCTCCAGAGTGCTGAGGTTACAGGCATGTTAAGAAGTGGTAAATATTCTTTCATATGCACAGAGATCAAAAGGATTACCGGCACTCTGCTTAGTACTACCTAACATTATGAAAATAGTAGTCATTACTTAGAATGACTCAACCATATAATACCAAATGGGTAATTAGCTAGAATAAAAAAAATAGGATCACCTCCATTCTATTGTGTAAGGTCAGCCAGGGCAAATCTAAAAGAACATCTTACATGTTGAACCAACATTTCTTTACCTTCCACCTCCCACCTATCCCTCTTGGTTTGAGTCTATAGTACTGGATTCTACCAAGGAAATAACAATCACAATATTCGGCCTGACTATGTGAACCCACTGAAAACAGCAAGCAAAAATATTTTAGACCCTGACTTTGGAACTGTTAAATGACAGTATTTAACCGAACCAACAGGTCCTTTAATTTGAATGGGGAAGAGGTATTTTAGGGTGTAGCAGACAGAGGGGCACCATGGTTATTCTGATCACAAAAGTTTCCCAGAATGGCTAGAAGATGTAAGCTAGGAGGGGAGAGGAAAAACAGGTAAAATTAAAGGACAGTTAAGACCTTAAAAATTAAAGGACATTTAATTAAAGGACAATTAAAGAGCAATGAAAATTGGATGAACTGGAATAAAAGCAAAGAACCTGGATTTACTTTAACAGTATGTGTTTCTTAGCACCTGTTTAATTTTACTGAGTGCTACCAAAGAAGAAAAATAAGACTCTCCTGGTATATAGTTGTGATAGCAACACTTAAAGAACTCTTTTTATGGTACTAAAGTGTATTCTCCTGCTTTCATTTGGGTTCTGATCAACATCTATCATAAAAAAGGGTGCAGCTGAAAGCATACTGTACCTATGCTCCCAGACCTCTAGGGGGCGAGAGTGCTCTTCAGTGGTTATTCCAGTTATTAGCAATAGCATAACTCCAAGAATCAAGTTCTTCAAAGACCAGGATCTATTACAGACAAGACTACTGACCCAGTGAATGCGAAACTTTTAATTCATTAAAGGAGCCCTTAGATTTCACTGTTAGATGTCAAACTCCTGCCTCAGTATGTGGAACCTATTTCAACGTTACTTCCTGAATTTATAGAGATCATGATTTGAAGAACAAATGGGTTGCCTCAAACTAGATGAGCACTATCAAGAGATAATGAAAAAGTTTTCACTGTCTTCCCACTAGAACCGTCACATTTGGGTACTAGAACTATAAAAGCAAACAGAAAAGGAAGGAAGTTAGAGATGCAGAAAGGCAAGAGATCCTGATGCGTACATGACCTGTATTGTATATGGAGCTATCAAATTTCTATGGAACAAAAAATTCAAGGGCCACTGAAAAACTGCATACAGTGTTATAGAATTAAAAATGACAACCTTTTACTCTCCCAGGTTGAAAATTTGCTGCCCCATAAGGGCTCTAATTTGAGGGTTAATAATTATATAAGTAACTCATCCCATAAAAACCAGGAGGTGACTAAAGAAATCCAAAGACCTAAAACGAGGAAAACATAAGTCTCATTGATCAGAGACCAATCATGCCATCTTTAGGATTCCAGGAGGGGTTTAGGAAAAGTGGCATATCCAAGCCTTTGGATAAGGAAATGATAACCACTGGAGCCACATGTCACGAATCCCAAATCCCAAATCCCAGGTGGTCAAAGAGACTTCACTTTTTGAGCAGTTATGACAGGCATGGAAAAGAACATTTCTTAGATACTTGTTTTGTATGAGGCACATATGGAATCCAGAATAAAACCTCATTTAGTCTTTACTCAAATCCTATGAGACAGATTGTTTTAAATTCAAATTTCAAATATTAGGCTATCAGGGCTCAAGGAAATAATGTAATTTGCCAAAGCTCAAATAGTTCATAAGCCACAGAGTTTCCAGGGGGTTGATGTGAGTTAAAGTTCATGCCATCAGCTGAAACAGAGGTCTCTAGCAGGGTGGGGAGGGCGATGCAGACGGCATGGTGTACACGCCTTCAGAAAAGATGCTTGACAAGTTATACTCCTGTGAACCAATGAACAAAATGGGGCTGGATGGTAACAATTCATCGATGACAACTTAGAGGTTTGTCATGACCATGGGGCTCTCTGCTCTTTGAGTTGAGAGTTGCTGAAGAAATCAGAGCTATTAGGCCAGGAGTTAGAGCAGTTATCAGCGCATAATGCTACTGGGAGGAAATGGAAGGTGGGGCCTACTGGGAGTTGCTCTTGAGGGGATACTGGGACCTGGCTCCTTTCTCTCTCTTTGTCTGCTTCCTGGCTGCCATAAGGTGAACAGTCTCCTCTGCCATGTAGTCCACCATGATGTACTGCAACACCACAGGCCCAACTCAACCGGGCCAAGCAACCATGGACTGAAGCCCCCCAAAATGTGAGCCAAATAAACCCTTCCTCCTCCCAAGTTAATGGGCTCAGGTATTTTGTTGCAGCTACAGAAAGCTGACTAACACACAAGCCATTCTTATTATTTCCATAAAGATGATGCTGGGGTGACAGCAAATCGATCCAGTGACAGGATCCCTCAAGGTGCCACTCAGTGTGAACCTTCGCTGTTTCTCTTTTCTCTTTCCCTTCCAAATCTTAAATGACATTCTTTAACACTTTGTGTTTGGATTGTACCAATTTGTGGCTGACAAGAAATGAATTGTTATCTGTCCTTTCTTGTGTGTTACTCCTTTTTCCCTCCATGAGTCTGTATATTTTTAAAAGTTGGGAACCATGTCTTATAATTTGGTTTCTCCCTGGTGATCCACCACAGTCTGAGGAAGTAGAAGGCACTTTGTAAGTGACGACCTGTAGGTCAATGTGAGAATTATAAGCTGCTTCTTCATAACCCTTTTCAAAGGGTGGTTGTTTCGCATTGAATTGAGCTAACGAGAACAGTTTTCCTCTAAATCTGATGGTTTAAAGAAAAAAACAAACCAACCGAGCCAACAAGCTGCTTGATAAAATGAAGCCACCTTTAGGATCTACATGAGCAGGCTTATAAAATTATCACTGTTACCCTGGTAGCATAAGATTTGGATGTCAATGTCTTTGTGTGTAAAGAACTGTTGACTATTGGATTAGATTTCAAAACAGAAAACAGACAACTTCATCCTGTGTTTCTCGTTCCTGCTCTCTCATTTAGTGGGGGACTGCTGGTTAATCTTACCTTAAATTTCCCATCTGAAGAGAAAATGCTAACCCATTTATTGTCGTAATCTGCGATGATTATGTCCCCACTCGGGTGCACAGCGACCCCCGTGGGCCGCTGCAGCTGCCCAGGCGAGCGCCCTCGGATGCCGAAGCGACTTTTGAACTGGCCATCATTGGAGAATATCTACAGAGCAACGTACATAGTTAGAAGGTGAACACAGCACTGAAACTACCCAGGCGAAACAGGCAACACTTGTCACTCGTACAGAGTTTGGAACGTGCCAACTCTGCGTAAGAGGCGTCTACAGACACTAGTGTAAGTTTTCCTTGCACCACATATCTTAAAGCTAAAGCAGGAAATGTGCAACCACATCTATTTTATCGGTATACACAGACCAAGGCGAAGGAAGGGACCCACCTGCACACACTGGTTGTTACTGTCTGCGATTAGTATCTTTCCGCTCGTAGATGCAGCTACCCCCTGAAGATTTGTGAACTCTCCTTTATTTCTTCCTTTGGTACCTAGAAATAAATTATGAAATTGAGTACTAGAGAATTAGATTTCTCAGTTTCAGCAAAAGAATAATTTATTCTTCCACGGGTAACCTCAGAGTGATTTTTTTTTTCAATGCTGGGGATCCAGTCTGGGGCCTTGCATGTGTTTGTTAGGCAAGTGCTCTAACACTGAGCTGCGCCTTGGCCCTGCACTGCTCTGTAATTGTACTTAAAACACGAGAATCCTTCCGCCACATGGCGTAATTCATCCCGACCTAACTTCCAGACCAATAAAGTCTATGCAAAACCACTTTTTTAGGTGAATGCCAAAATATACTCAGATTGGCATTCGCTTAAAAAAGTGGTTTTGCAAAGACTTAATAATTAAAATGTACTCAGATTCCACAAAAATATAATAAAAACTAATGTTCTAATCATGTAGATGTAAGAGGAGAAGGCCTTATTTTAGGGTTCTGCCAAAATCCCAACCTGGGCACCTGAGTTTCAGACCATTTAACAAACTCTCAGGACACAGAGGTTATAAAAGTACAGGCTAATTTTCATAAACTGCATCTAGGTAAGCATACTTTTCTAAGGTTCTGGATCTCACTGGCTGTTGTATTCTTCCTGAAATTATATTTTTAAAACCCTAAAAGGATGCTTTCTAGATTAAATAACAAAGACAAGGAAATTAATATTAGGAAATATTCTCATTCTTACTGGATCCGTCTTTACAAGGAGAGAGGAGGCAGAGGGAAGAAAAGCAACACCATATCCAGGGTAACAATACCTGTTTTTTGTTTTTATAACTTATTTTAATAGGAATACATAAATATTAACAGGTGGAAACAGAATTTAAGTTTTGTTCAAAAATGACGTGTAGGAGGTTATATTTAAAAATTTTTTTTCAGAACTAGGGATTGAACGTAGGGCTTTTGCACCAAACTACATCCACAGCCCTTTCAATTTTTTCATTTTGAGCCAGGGCCTCACAAGTCACTAAGTTGCTCCGGCTGGGCTTGAACCTATGACCCTCCTGCCTCAGCCTCCCAGAGCGCTGGGATCACAGGTGTGAGCCACTACACATGGTTTACATTTTAATCACTGGAGAAAGGAAACTATAATTTCATTTATATTCAGTAGCAATTTGATACTTTGTTCCTATACATCCATCAAGAAGGGCACAGTGAAGGTGGTGGAAGTCAAAGCTGGGAATGAACGCTCCTGAAATAGTTTCTCAGTCTGGAAAGCGAAAGTGGTGATACAGTGAACTCAACACCACCAGAATTGCTGGGCAGAACAATCCCCGATAACCTGGTTCTCACTAGACCTGCATGGTTCTTTCCAGACCCTGGAGTACCATGTTACTGAAGTCACATTTCCTCACTGCTTCTGCGCCTCAGATGTGCTTGTAAGACAAAATTGTGAGATCTGGATCCTCAGACAAGCACCTTCCACACTGGGAGGGGACAGTGCCATTTTCTTTCAAGTGTATCAGAATCCAGGATCTTTTTACAGTTGACCTGCATAGAACCTTTTCAGCATGCATGAATGTGGTATTGGTGAACATGCTTCAAAAATGCTATGTTGGAGCTGGGGATGGTGGTTTGAGCCTGTAGTCCCAGCCTCACCAGAAGGCTAAGACAGGAGGATCACTGGGACCCAGGGGTTAAATAAAGGCTGGCCTAGGTGACATAATGAGACCTTGTCTAAAAAAAAAAATGGTGCACATGGGGTGGCAGAGGACAGAGGAAGGGGTGGCCGGCTCTTTAAGGAGGTATCTACTCATGTTGTTAATGTGGTATCCGTTTTTTGGCATTCCTCTACATAACAGCTGAACCACAGGTACTGCAAAACAGATGGGCCAGAAACAATTCTACTATATTCCGCTTCCAAGTACTTTTTCAAAGAGAGTACGAGTAAGTCTAAGGCCTCTTAAAAATTAAAAACGTGGCTAGGTGTGGTAACAAACACCTGTAATCCCAGATCGGGGGAGACTGAGGCAGGAGGATTGCTGTGAGTTCAAGGCCAGCCTGGCTGGACCACATGGTGGAGGCCCTGTCTCCAAAAACCGAAGTAAGTGAGTAAGTCAATAAAATTAAAAGAAAACGTATCAAACTGTGTGATAAAGAAAAGCACAGAATTGAGCAAGATAAGAAACAGAACCAAGTAAAGAAGTGTAGTTAAAAAGCAAGAGTCTTCCTGCTAGGACAGGAACATAAAGAAGTGTTTGACCATGCAAGGACAGCCTGGCTGCTGCAGCTCCTGGCTTGCGTGGAGCACGCACACCATGGCTTAGAGGGCAAACGCAGGGGACAGAAATACTGAGCATAAGGGGAGGGGCTAGGAAGACCTCAGCAGAGTAGATGAACCCTGCCTCGTGCGCTCCTTCATTTCACTTCATTTCACCTTTATTTTGCTAAGGACAAAGTTAATTCTGCGCAGAGAAGACTTATCAGGCAGCAGCAGTGACTGGAGGGAAGGGAGAGGATGGAGAACACAGAGCGGTAGAGGAAGTTCAGGGAGTGGCTTGTCCAAAAGGGTCCCCTCTCCTTCTGGAAACAAGGAGGCAATGCTGAAAGAACAGGAAAATATATGACCAAAAAACCCCCAAAACCAAAAAACCAAAGAACCACGAAACCCACTAACGCTGTTGTGCCTTGCAGAAAAACACACCGGTGAGCACTGGCAGAAATGGGAAACAACTGCATTTTAGGGAGGAAGACGTTTAGGCAGACTCCGTGGTGGCACTATTCAGAACCAAGAGAAGGAAGACCCTATGCCCACAGGAAGTGCCGAGACGGGCTTGGTACAGCCCACCCCTGGTCACCAGAGCAACGGGACAGCATTGCAAAGGAAAGCTGCTGGAGCGCCGTTCTGCAGCCGCTCTGCGCTTGAGGGTGACCTGCCAGGCCAGGGCTCACTCTTGGTCTCAGGTTAGACATACTTGGAGTCTGTTGCTCCCTTGTAAATAAAACCACAGAGCCAGAGGAACGTCGATTAGTCTAACATTGTTTATATATTTTTAAAAGACGCTAGATGAAACAGACTCTGCCACTTTAATTTTAACCCCGAACTTCCTAATGCTGGGGATTAAATCCAGGGCCTCCACACTGAGCTACATTCCCAGGCCTTTCTCATTTTTTAATTTTAAGGCAGGGTCTTGTTAAGTTACTACATTTCCCAGGCTGGGCTGGAACCTGTGATCCTCCTGCCTCAGCCTTCCAGAGTGCTGGGATTACAGGTGTGCACCACCATACCCAGCTCACCATTAAACAAAACAAAATAAAACCAAAAACCAAAAAAACCCCCCCAAAACCCAAACAATAAAAACCAAACAAACTGTGAAAGCACATCAGAGTTAACGGTCTGTTAGGGTTTAGATCTAAATTGTCCCCCTAAAGCCTCCTGCATTTGGAACGTGATTGGGTCACGGGCACTGTACTCATGGGTGGATTGATCCACTGTGAATCCACAGCTGAGTGTGCTGTCAGCACCCTGCTCTCGCAACCTCATTTCAGCCTCAGAGCAACTGGAACGGTGAGCCTAAATAAACGTCTCCTCCTTTAGGATGTGGGTGCTGGCCTAAGACACCGTGTTACCTGTGAAGATGAAAGGACTCCACAGGCATATTCTGGAGGAACCACTGATGCCAACCATCTTTGCTAGCAGTTGAATTAGAAAATTTTCTATTTTCTGAGTGCTGATGCAGAATTACTGCATACTGCTCAAACATTTGTGTGTTGCAATGAAAAAAACCTGAAGTTCCAGGAGTTAGAAATATTTGGGATAATGCTTTGCTCTTTTAGCTTTTTAGTAAATTCTATTTGGTCTATAAGATGAAGTCTCCCTTTTGTCTCTACGGTATTCAAAATTTAAATGAAAACTAGTTCTTTTACAATGATTATAAATGTTAAGACCAAATGTATATAGTGCTATAAAATCTTTACATGTCTATTTTGATATAAATTATTTCATTAGATGTTTACCTATTAGCCAATAAAATGAACAGCATGAATTTTTAAAGTAATCATAAACAGTTTGGCATAATTTTACAAGAAAGACAACATTAGTTTTTTCCCAGATGTTAAACTAACATAGGCATGGGATAAATTTTTAAGGCAACAGCTTTTCACACATGTTCCTGGTCCCTTTCATGTACCTGTCCGAGAGGATTACAGAAGTGGAGTGAGACTTTAGATTGAAATTGGGGATCAAGAGATACGGATTTTCTCTCATTACCCACTATCATATGGAAATTATTGCTAAATAAAACAAAATACTTTGAAAGGAACAATGCAACAAGATATGACTCAACCAAGTAGAGGGTCTAACACAGGATCTTTAACAAAGCTGATGCTTAACAGATGTTTGCTGCATGAATGAGCGTGTGAATGAGTTATTATTGACTGGTACTCAGTTACAATCCATGTGACATGACGGAAAAGTGAAATGTTCAATAATATTTATAGTGCTTTCATGTATATTTGCTCATGTGTTCCCTTCCCTGTAATTATCTTATGAGTTACCAGGACAAATATTATCATTCCTGTTTTAAAAATGAGAAAGTGGAAACTAGACATATCACTAAGATGGTCAAAAGAAAGAATAAAACCTGGCTTTCCTGACCTGTTACATAATATTTCTTCCAATATATACATTATTTCTTTCTAATTAGACTTCAAAATACCCGGTTTTGGAGGTAAGAATCATTTACCCTTTGAGCTCACATGAATGATGTTCTCTCTTAAAGTTTTAGAAAACTTCCTCACTTGTCACACAGTATTTTAACTGTCCACATCCCTCACTTGACTATAAGCTGCCTGGAGGTAGGAGCGACATCTGCCATGTTCAGTGTTCTACCCTGGAATACAGAGCTATAGCTAGGACTGTGACTGTCCCAAAAGCCCATACATGGTGGGTCCCCAGCTTGTAGCACTCCTGGGAGGTAGCTGAAGCTTCAGAAGGTGGAGCCTTGAGGGAGGAAGTTAGGTCATTGGAGGCGAGTCCTCCAGTGGGCTCTTGGG